TCTCAGTAATTCTGTCATCCATTGCATCAGTTCTACCCCTTTGCCGTTCCAATGTGTTATGTATTTCTGACAATTTAGTATTAATCTTCTTGATTTCTATTGGTAGACTTAGAATTGTTTCTAATTTTTCATTAATTTTGTCATTTTGTTCTTCTTTTTCTTCCAAAATTCTTGTAAGTTTTTTTCTGTGTTTTCTTTGGTCTATCTCTCAATCCATTGAAGATACCTGAATATAAGTCTTTTGATTCCTTATCAGAGAGTTCCAATGCTGCTTCTTCCTGAGGGATGTGTTCTGGGTGTGTATCCTGCTCCCTTGTTTCTACCACTTTATCTTGCTTCTTTGTGTAGACTGTGATGGTCTGCTGTCCCCAAGACATGGTGGTGTTGTATTTAGACCTCTGTTAACTGTTTTTGAAGAGCAGCCAAGGATATTTCAGGCTCTTCTTGGTGGTTTTTTATCATTGGCCCATTGGTGGAGAAGGATTTGGTGCCTCTCTCTCAGTAAGTGAAGTTGTAGGAGATTTGGGTGTAGTTGTATCTTATAGGGACTGTTGCTGTTTCCCAATCAGTTAGACAAAAATTACAATTGAATAACCATCAAAAAACTAAAAGAACATGGACAAAAAATACACCATATAACCACACAGGAACAATAACCAAAAAAAGAAAAAAGGGAAAAAACAAGAAGAAAAAAAGAAGAAAATCTGCCATATCTGGGGATAGGGGACTAAGAGAACAAATGTAGAGAAGGAGAATAACAAAGAAAAAATAGGAAAAATGCAAAAATAAAAATAAAGAATGAGTTTAATCACAAGAAAAAGGGGAAAAAAAGAACTGAAAATTAAAAAAAAAAAAATTTCAAATAGGAACAGGGAAAAGAAAAAAAAAACCCTGTAAACTAGGACCTGGGTGGGGAAGAATAAAGAATAATAGTAAAAAGGAAAAAGTATTAATAAAAATAGTAGTTTAAAACAGACAAATACAAGCAATCTAAAACCCAGAAAAAAGAAAGAGAAAAAGATAAAAAAGAAAAAGAAAAACATCGGTGGAGGACAGGACAGGGCACTCAGGCTCCGTCTAAGCACACAGACTGGGATGGAGTTGCTGCAGGCTCAAAAGGTGCATGGGAGT